AGTTCTGCTAAGCAGAATGGTGCATTATATGCCTCATTTCTTGGGGATTTTCTTTCTAACTTTTGTTTTTCTATTCGTGCCTTGTAATTCTGGAAGGATTCGGAGTAGTGTGAGGAGCTCGATATGTGTTCGAAATGTGTGCCAAGAAAGTTGGCTTGATCCTCCAAGCTTTCCCGGAGGCTATTTACTAGTGGAAGAGAATACGTTTGTTGGCCCTTAATTTTCTTTACCTCACTTTTCCCTCATCTGTGTACGAGTTGATACTCGATATAAACTTTGTCCAGCTCTCTCGTCTAGCTTGTCGACGCGTTCTCCGTGCCTGCGATTTGACCCGCTTGAAATTTTCCAGGTTTTCTGCTGTAGGGGAATCGCGAAGCAACGCCCATGCTTTGTTCTGAGTGGTCCGTGCTTTCCTGCATGCGTCGTTCCACCATGGGACTCGCCGTTTAGAAGACATGCCACTCGTTTTGGCAATACATTTAGATGCGGCATCAAGTATAAAAGCTGTAAAATACGTGACAGCGTCATCTATGGTCAGGGGCAGACAGCTCAGTCCATGTCAAGTGTGTAAGAGTTCTATACCCTTCCCAATCAGCTGACTCAATCTTCCATCGAGGAACCTGCGGGGGTAGTTGATCTTTGTTCGGCGCACTCAGGATGATTGGGAAGTGATCACTCCCATAAGGGTTTTTAAGAACGTTCCATTTAAAAACAGGTAAAAGGGACGGTGATGAAATGCTAAGATCTATGGAGGAGTATGTGTTGCTTGCAAGGCTAAAATACGTAGGCTCCTTCATATTTAAAAGACATAAACTAGAAGAGAAAAGGAGCTGCTCAATGAGACGTCCCTCGCGCATCACAGTGAGCATCGCCCCACAGGACATTGTGTGCATTAAAATCACCTAGAACCAGAAATGGCTCTGGGAGTTCATCTATTAGTGATTCCAGATCACGTCTGTGTAGCTGTTGATGTGGTGGTATGTACACAGAACATATGGTAATAAGTTTGTTAAAAAGTACAGCTCGAATGGCCACTGCCTCCAGGGCCGTTTGGAGCTTCAAATGCTGGCATGCTATACTACGATCGACTATAATGGCTACACCGCCAGATGGTACAACAGGATCCTCCCGGTCTTTTCGGAAAATAATATATTGTCGTAGGAAGTCCTTGTGCTTAGGAGTTAAGTGCGTTTCTTGCACACATAGCACTTTCGCGTTAAACTTACACAGAAGTTCTTGGACGTCATCTAAATTTCTAAGTATTCCCCTTACGTTCCACTGTATGATTTTGTCCATAGTGAAAAAAAAAGGGAAAAAGTGCTGTGTGCAAAGAAGACGGAGATTAACTCATTTTACAGGGCCTTTGTCAGGCCCTGTAATCGGCGTTCTGTCCTGTTTGGGGCGGTCGAGCGAAGCTCGCTGCTCCTTCGGCGCTTCCTGCGCCGTTTGGCTTGAACTGGTGTCCATAGCCTCTTGCGAGGCACTGGACACCCGCTCTAAAGAGCGATCTGTGCGTCGCTTAGACTTCGCCTCGATCGACGAAGTCTTTGTCCCCACCGAGCTGGTGGTTGATGGAGCCCCCTTGGCCTCGTGATTGCCCTGGCTGCTGCCAGAGCTTGTAGAGGTCACTGGTGTGGACAGGCTGAAAGTGGGCAGGGCAGCGCTGGCTGCTCCCGCCGCAGGGGCGTGTGGCATTGGCCTCGGCACGCTAGGCGTGGTCTGGGCAACTGCCAAGGGCCTTTGTGGTGCCGCCCCTCGTTGCACCACTTCGGCAAAAGGTGTTTTTAGTGCTAATGATAACGACTCGTTGTCTTGCTTCCCTGAATGTGGTATTTTCCTTAACTTTTATAGTTATTATTTCTTTTTCTCTTTTCCAGGCTGGGCACGCTCTGGAGTATGCGGGGTGGCTACCTTCGCAGTTTGCACAGAGGATCTCGTCATGACTACATTCATCAGCCCTGTGGCCGGTTTGTGCCACACTTAGCACACATCAGCTGTCCTCGGCAGCTCTGGGATGCATGACCAAATCGCTGGCATTTAAAACAACGCCTCGGGTTTGGAATGAAGGGTCGGACATGGAGTTTTACATAGCCAGTTTCGAGAGTCTCGGGTAAAGTGGTTGAGTTGAAGGTGAGTATCAAGTGCTTTGTTGCTATTTCATTGTTGTTACGTCTGATTTTGATGCGCTGGACTTGTATTACACCTTGATCCTTCCATCCATCAAAGAGCTCTTCTTCACTCCGTGTCATCAAATCTTCGTCCGATACCACGCCCTTCACTGTATTCATGGTACGGTGTGCGCTCACAGAGACAGGGATGTTACCAAAGGCCACGAGGTGCGAGGGTTTATTGTACTGCTCCTTGTCTTTTAATTCGAGAAGCAGATCTCCACTTGCCATCTTCGTGGCCTTATAACCGGTTCCAATGGTCTCTCTCAAGCACTTGGCTACAAGGAAGGGTGAGATTGCTCTAGCTTTTGTAGATGATTGTTCGCAGTGGAGGACATGGTATTTTAGAAAAGTTTCTTTGTTTTTGGGCCAAAGTAGGAATGTTGCATCGGTGCGTACCCTTTTCGAAGCACGATCAGTTAAAGAGGGGGTCGGGGATCCCATGAGAAAATGTGTATTTTTCGGTAACGGCGCCTACCACCCACCACGGAGTCCAACGAGGGGACGTGGCAGAGCATGTGGGCATGTCTGCGCAACGCCAGCAGTACGCAGTTACTATAACCCAATATGGTTTACCCTAGTTTGGATAGCCACACAAGGTTAACCCTTGCCGCCAGGAAAAATTGGAAGTAAAATGAAGTGAGGAGAAGACAGGAAAGATGTAGAGTGAGAACAAAAGACGAAGATATAGGGAGAGAGAGATAGGAAAAGGCGACTGCCGATTTCTCCTAGGTGGGTCAGCCCAGAGGTGCCGTCTACGTGAAGCCGGGGCCAAAGAGGTGTGTTGCCTCTGCCGGGGGGCCTTAAAGGTCCAATAACCCAGCGTCGGCTCAACCCCCAGGATCCCCTTTTCCCCGAACACGGCAAAGCCACGCACGGCTAGGCGTGGGAGGGAGTAGAACTCCCCCGTTAGCTCGGGTCCGTGGTGTCGCTACACACCAAACGCCTACTTGCGCAGGCGCCCCTGCGGGGACGGACCACCGCTTGGCAATTCGTAGAGCAGACCGGGGCAATCAATTTCCAGATTACAGCGCTGCGCACCATGCACAGCCTCCATTTCGAAAAACAATTCCCGCGCTCCTTTCCTACACCTGACCAATCCTCCTTTCATGCGTAGTGACACAAATTCGCCGATCGGTGACTTGACGAAGCACGCAGCTCATCGATTAGTTTAAACCAGTCACGACGGCAGGCTAAGCTTTTTCGTCCTTTTGAAAGAGAAGGGTGGCGAGACCGCGCGAAAATTTTAAACTAGCTGAAACCAATGTTCTAACCCTTGTGAATTCCTTAATAAAGCATTCGGGAAATCCTTGAGGCAGCATGTTCATGGAGCAAGGGTCACATATTTTTTATTTTTGGTCCTTGGGGGGTTGTTTACTGGCCTTTTGAACTGGGGCAAGCCTGTGCAGATCACAAAATGAATTCAATGCAGACAGTGAAGCAGGCTAATGAATCTGCATTATGGTGTAGTTTAAAAAAAAGTGAAAATATGCAAATACGAGCACCCCATTGAAAAATTTCCTGCTAGCTACAGGTCATGTATGCAGACACAGCAGAAAAACTTGAAGCTGCCACTGCCGAACTGAAGGCCCTACAAACGAGGCCTTCGTGCCTATAGTTCTGACATTCTTGAGCCCACAAGAAGAGTGGGTGCAGCTCTACCGTTTGGACGTGTTGACAAGGGGCCACAACACCAACAATTTTGCGGAGGCAACCATACGCGTGCTCAAAGACATTATACTGAACAGAGTCGAAGCATTTAACGCAGTTGCACTCTTAGACTCGGTGGCTCTGGTGTGGGAGAAACACTTTGAAAGCCATATCCTCCGCCACGCCTACAGCCGTGTTCCAGCCCATCAACTACTGTACAAGCGGCTGCTGTCGAAAATGTCAAAAGACGCAGCCGAGGCCATCCAAGTGGTAGGCCAGAGACAGTACATTGTGCCTAATGCCACCCACCCCAGCTCCAGTTATGAAGTCTATGCCGACATAGGATTACGCACGTGTCTTCTTGGTAAGGAAGGTGCATTTTGTAAGCACCAGGCTTTGGTGCACAAAAAGTACGGAGGACTGTTTTCAAATGCTCCGGTACTGAATAATGACGACCGCTACCAACTGGGACAGCTGGCCCTGGGCGAAAAGTGTCCCCCCAGGATATTTTTGGACCCTTCCAAGAGGAGGAGCCCAGCAGTAGTGCCAGAACCACGGAAGGTACCAGTGCCCAGCAGGAGGAGCCAGACGAGCTCCAACCAATGCAAGGCGCCAGCACACAAGAGGCCACACACGTCGCACCTGTACCGTCGGTGCCTGATGCGGCCCAACTTGCCCAGGTAAGACAAGCCCCTTGAAAGGGCCCTGAAATACTTTTCAATTAAACATAGGGAATGCTACTGAACAGTAGTCAAGGCTTCTTTTATTCCTGCAAGTTTATTATTGTGCTCCACCACACTAACGAATTTACAATTTCATATTGATGGATGCCATCATTCTGAGGGCAATTTTAAGATTTCAACACTACCGGTGTCGTATTGTTCCACGTTTGGGACTACAGGTCACCAATTGTTGGTATTAGCAGCACTTCCACTAGCAGAATAGTCAAAGCAGGTGACAGGAAAAACTTGACTTAAACTGACTCCTCAGCTTGAACTTTATTCCCGAGCAGTTGTCTGCAGTTAGAGAGGAGCAAAATAATTGTGCAGTTCTTGTTGGTGTGTTGTAGACGTGAAGTATATTTCTTTCACCTCTTTGGTGCAGGCCCAACAACATGCATATGAGCTCCTGGAGGTCCAGTTGCGGCGTGTGCATTGTATGAATGCACACAATCCAGCTTACCTTGATATCGTGAAGGGCCTTGGAGAGAAGCTTGCTCGTGTTCAGAACAGCAGCGATGGGACAGGACTGAAACTGGCACTCTAGGCTACCGCTGCAGCAAGACGTTGCCAGGCCCGTCACATAAGGGTGCAACCGATCAGCACTGCTAGGCATAGGCCAGGGCTTACAATGGCATCCAAGAGGGTCCCTACAGGGTGCCTAACAGTTGAGCCAGCTGCCAAGAAAGCAAAGAAGAGGCCCCATTCTTTGAGCCACAACATAGAGAAAAATGTGCCTGGTGCAAGGCTGCACTGAATGGCAGCTGCCTCCCACCAACTGGGCGCACGACAGTTCTAGGCACAGAGCCAACTTAGTTTGAAACATAATTTCTTGCGTTTTATGTGGCGAAACGATGATATGATTGTGAAGCACACGGCAGTGGGCAACTAATGATATGTGGGGTTTGACGTCGCAAAACCACCATATGATTATGAGAGACGCCGTAGTGGAGGGCTCCGGAAATTTCAACCACCTGGGGTTTTTTAACGGGCTCCCAAATCTGGGCACACTGGCCTACACCATTTTCGCCTCCATCGGAAATGTAGTCACCGAAGCCGGGATTTAATCCCATGGCCTGCGGGTCAGCAGCCAAGTATTTTAGCCACTAGACCACCGCGACGGGGCCCACAGTGGGTGACTTCGGATCAAATTAGGCCATGTGGGATTCTTTAAAGTGCACCTAAATCTAAGCGAAGGAGCAGCTCACCCCCACCGCTGCACTTGATGCTTCATCTTTCATTGAACCAAAGCGAGAACAACTCCTCGCATTAGCTGTAATATCACAACCTTACAATTGGCCACCTTAGCCACAGTCATATGCATTTGACTCTGCACTACTACCTCAGTATCATGCATACAGCCTTGTCAAAGCTGATGTTAAAGAATGGTGCCCACTAATCCCACTAGTCCCTTGGATCCACCAGGTGTGGCCCTTACAAGTCACAATCAGATACTCATCAATGTTGTGCAGTAACATTGTGCTATTCCACCATGAGTGAATTTTGTTTCGCCTTACCGTCAGGAGTTATGAGGTCTTCAATTGTGTTTTTTGGAGGGGCGGGGGGTTACCGTCCTAGAACCATGACACTGACAGTATTGTTATGTACCGCTTACCTAGAAAACGAAGAAGTGAGAAGACTAGGTGGTGCCTGTCCTGGCCATCGTGGTTGTTTTTACCCGCAGTACTGTTACTGTGAATATTGTAAATACACTCGTTTTCTGTCATCTCTCCGTAACATCTTTGGTGGAGGTGCTGGGCACATCAGGAGCACACAACGGAACTTTGCAGCGGGCGTATTCTTGGACAGTCCATCATGCCGGCAGACAGTTCTGCTGATCCAGCCCTCGCTATGCCGAATTCACCCAGTCACGTCGTGACCCACCTCCGAGACCCAGGTCCCTTCTGCGGGACTGATAACGGTCACGTGGAGAAGTGGCTGGCCAACTAAGAGTGCAGCAGCAAGACCGATCGCTGGGATTCTACTTTGATGCTTGCAAACGTCTGGGGTAGGGCCAGTGTGTGGTTCGACACACACGAGGAAAATGTAAACGTACATAACAAAAAAGACGTATGTAAACAAAAAAATGAAACACCTTTTCGGAAAGCCCGTTGCACGCCAACATAAAGAACTCTCGTGCCATGCCCAAACCTCGACGGAGCTGTAGATGGTTTACACACAAGATGTCTTAGTCTTGTGCAACATATACGTCGTAACACGAGGCAGCTGGCTGTTCGCCTTTATTTTATTTGGCTGAAATCCAATGCTGCCTATGGACACCAATGATGCCTCCTTCAACATGCCCACCCACTAAATATGCTAAATAAGCTAAAGCCCATGCCGACCATACATGTCAGCTTGTGTGCGTTCGGCTAACCGACTTGCAAACGGGCAAACAGTTTCGTAACGAGAGCAGTCATACAAACACCCACTTTTCTCCAGAATTCCTGTGCTGTGGTCTCCAGCACGCTGTATTGGGTTTTTTACAAAGCTACTGTTCCCGCCCTCCGAACCGTACCCTGTGCACCGCCAAGTGACCGACGTGAGATAAGAAATTGAATTGTCTTTGTCCTTCTCGACTCAACCCCGTACCAACATCATTTACGTTGCACGTCTGAAGCCATGTCATATATCGGGCTGCCACAACGCACATGTATAATAACAATCACTATACCATCTTTCTCTGACTGCACCGAGTCAGAGCCTTCACCGCCGGAGGGTAACGTTATGTGCCGCTCACATAGAGAGGACGAAAAAGTGAAGGACCAGGTGGTGCCTGCTCTCGCTATCTTAGTTGTTTTTACCCGCATTACTGTGACTGTAAATATTGTAATTATACCTGTTATCTGTCATCTACCAGTAACAATATCATTTATGAAACACCCGTTGGGGCACATACATATTTTTGGAGAAGGTTTTTGGGCTATGATTCTATTTCAGGTCTTACAAGGTTTTACAGCGAATCACTGAAGTACCCTATGAGGTTTTCCCAGAAGGCACCTCAAGAAACTGCTATCAGCTTCCAGAAAGTGTAGTCGCGCGCGTTTCTAGACTTTAACCATACTTTTCTTGTTCCGACTCATCTAATTAGCAACATTACAGTGTATTGACAACTTAGCATGTTTTTTTTTATTTCACCCTCTCCATTTTGTTGTTTGCTGTTTATTCTTATTTGATACCTAGCTTGATAGCGGCCGATTGAGCTATTTTGAGTTATGACACGCCGTCCCATTGTAAAGTGCACTCATCCTTTTTTTTTTCATTCCAATGTGCTGCATCGAGACTGCCACCGCGGCCGGTATTTCAATGACGCAACCTGCAGGTCGCCACTAGATGTGGTGGGTTGGTGCTCAGTGCTGTCGGCCCACATCACTCAATGTATAAAATGGTACAAGAACACCACTTGTCACCATCAAGTTCCCTGCAATGCACACTTATGCGTTAACCCGGCAAACTACCTGTGCTGTCAGCAATAGTATGCCCTTCTGTGAACACCACATCATCCAGTGCACCATTATATGATGGCCAACTACCGAGCCCACATTTTTAGTGCCGATGTGCCACTTGCATTTTTAATTTTAGCTCAAAACAATAGCGCCCTACTCTAGTCTCAAGATGGCTGAGCCTAAGTGCAGTATAGCGCTTTCTGGTCAACAGAAAGTCAAATTGATATTGCCTGTGTATGCACCATGCTGCATCTGTGTACTTTACACATATTGGCATGACAGCATCGTGTCGACAGTGTCCATTTCATATACGTGCCTTCCATGCCGCTTCCACTAAAATTCTAACAAAGACTTTGTGCTTTTTGAATCAATACTTCTTTGCAGACTAGTTGGTTTCATACTTAAAAACTCTGCTTGCAGTGCAAGCTGAAGGAAAAACGAGAAGGGGGACAGGAAAGAGTACGCTCTTTCCTGTCTACCTTCTCTTTTTTCCTTCAGCTTGCACTGCAAGCAGAGGTCATTGTGCTTTTCAGAGTTATTACCATGTCTTTTCATACATGAACTCACCAATGTATACATTCACGTACGTCTATGCTTGACGCATAAAGTTTTATCTTTGTTGTGCCATTCTCCTGTAAATACCTTTAGTGTTCTCTCATGGGACAGTTTTCATGTTAATAAATTGTTATCTCATGTATTGCATATTTATTTTTGCATGGGTACAACAGTTGGCGGCTGTGAGTTTAGTAAGCTTCGCCCTAATACGTTCTTTTATTGAAGAAGCCTCTCAAAGGAGACACCATGCAGAGTTGAGCCGCATGGAGTGCACTCGGCAGTTTCATAGAGAAGGGTAGCAGATTATTTTCAGATCCCATAATACACAGGGGGCGAAAAAAAAGCGACAACCACAAACGGGGCGAGGACAACTGCGAGTCTAACTTGCCTTCACCTGAACATGGGGCCGTATTGCAGTGAATCCATAGAAAGAAAAACATCCGCGAAGAGCTCTTTAATAAGTTTAATTCTCTTATCTTAAATTAGTTCGACTAAAGACAAGGTCTTGAGGACGCATGCTTTCCTTTCAGCTTCCACAGTGTGGTAGTGACGCACGATAAAGTTTGCGCGCAGGCTTTCAAGGATTTTATGATCGCACGCATGTATCACCACTACATTTCTGTGCTTTTTGCCCGAGCACAGTTCGTAGCCTTATTTAAAACGACAGTATCAGAAACGCGCTTTCAATAACCGCATGCTGAGAATCAACAAAAACTCACCAAGTGGAGTGCAGTAATCTCCGGTGTGGCGTTTTTTGCAGCAGGCCTAGGTGTACCAGGCGTAGTCAGTCGACTCGGCTTCAATGCATCTTGAACGGAGCGGCTTTGCGACTCGGCAGTGAAAGGTGGGGCACACGCTTTCTTCATGAGCATCCAACTCGGCGTAGGGCGTTCGTTCAGCGGGAGGTGGGCGCACACGCTTCTTTCGCGAGTGTCCTACTCGGCGCAGGGCTTCCTTCCGAGCACTTGGCAACAGGCGTAGTGGCGACTCGGCTTCATTGCGTCCTGAATGGCGCTGCTTTTCGGCGGTGAGAGGTGGGGGCACACGCTTTATTCACGAGTATCTAACTTAGCGCAGCGTGTTCGGTCAGACGAGCCGCACACGATTACTTCGCGAGCATCCGAATGCAGGGCCATATGCCTTGGCAGGGCTTCTTTCCCGCGAGCGCGACCCCACGCTAGCTGCAGCAGCAGCCTCCCGGCAACGCTATGCGAAAGTGCGGGGAGCTACAGCGCGATGACACAGTTAGGCCAGCGGAAATGCACAGCCTCCAAGAGCGCTGGGCCGCGGTGCATTGTGGGGGGCTCTATCCGCTCGCCTTTGTAAACTCGCGTCCCGCGCCTGGGCCGCGGTGCATTGCAGGGCGCTCTATCCGCTCGCCTTTGTAAACTCGCGCCCCCGGCCGGTTGAAGTCCTGGAGGCTTGGATCCGACGCCCGACGGCCCATCTTCAGCACCCGGTCCGGTGACGACCTCCTCGTACCCCCCTCCTGTTCGAAATCCTCTTGCTCTTCTGCTCTGCTCAGGCTTCTGCTGCCACTCTGGCCCACTTGTCTCGTTCTTATTGTAGATACTGCTGTGGTCTATATCCATGGTCTGTGATCATTGCTTCTTTTGTCTTTTGTTTTCTTCACGCCACGCGTTCTCGTGCCTGACGCTCTTCAAAGTCATTGTTCTCGTCTGAGCAATACCACGGGTGCACTCTGTTATCTCTTTTTTTTTCCGTGACGCGCCCTTTTTTTAAAGGCGCGCACTTCAAACGCACACCACAAATCACACCCAATCAATGCCA